GGCAAGCCGATGGGTTTCGACCTCAAAATAGAATTTCATCAAGATGGGACAATCCGGCAACAAACTCAGTTCGGTTTGAAGAAGCACTGGTTGTTTAAAGGACGCACTATTAAATTTAGCTTACTGAATTGTTTGCTTGCAAATAACAAATTCTGCGGCAGATAAAGTGTCTCTAACGTTCGTTGATGTATGTTCACTCAGGTTCTATATGGCGTGAACGATATTCATTTATGAGCAACCTGACAATGATGACACTCATGTAGTGAGGAGCCAGACACTAGCACGAATGTTGACTGGCCTAACAAACAAGCCGGGAGCCGCAGTAACTACAAACGTTTGGCGCACACAATTCATTGTTATTTTGTATTTGAAATCGAACCTTGATGGGCGATGTATGCCCGCAAAGTACCACTGCGTATCTTCTAAGAAGTTCTACAAAATCTGGTGATAGCAAGTTGCGCTATGCTCGTTTTGATTTCCTACATCTTGTATTCCAAACTCAGTATAAAGTGGTGGCTATGTCGGGAAAGAAAGGTTTGCCAGCAGTCGGTAGCCATCCCAAGCAGTATGCGAATCGTTAGATGTACGTTAGTGAACGGTAGAGAATATTTGAGTCACTTGCCACAGCGCTCAAAGTTTACTACGGTTAGGTCCATTTGTACCCAACACTGAATAAACGCGGCAATTAAAAATCGTTTTTTTATTTTTTGCCAATAGGTTAAATAAACTGGCCGAAAATCTGCACGAGGAGCGAGCAGACACTTCTGTACATTAGTCACTCTATTCCCACAAGAGAGCCCTCATTATGTGAATAAGTGTATCCAATTAAAATCCACATAACAGATTTCTGGTGAGACGCTGACAAGTGCGTTGAAATATGTAACAAATTGAGATTGCGTAATAGGACCCGGATATTCATCTTGTCAAACTGGAACTAGGTACGCAATCCACGGACAGCAGTGCATTAATGAATACAACGGCTCAATGTACTTCAAAAATAATTATTCAGTTGCCTTTGGATAAATGCACGCATGTTGACGGTTTTTCGCATTTGATCAACTAACTGAGCATCTCATCTTTGACCGCTTAGTCAAACAGCAATTCATGAAGAAGGAAAGACGTAATCTTCGTTTAGGTGCCAGTTGTTTTTTAGCCGCAGTAGTAAATGTGGAATATATAAAAATCGGCGTAATATAGTAGGCATAGACTACTTATGTCAAAGAGAGCAAACTTAAAGTGGGACATTTCAATGGGTGAGAAAATTCGAAGTTATCGAACGGAAAACTCGCGCCATATACTCACGTTGATTTCCCACTTCTTTGTTTGGGTGAAAAGTTAGCTGACTTAGATAATAAACTGTCTGAAACGTTTCAACAGCACATGTCATTACGCCTCTCGCGCTGGCAAGCGGTGAACACACATCTGAGAAAATAAAACAGCGTTTATCAACGTTTAACTTGCGGTGAACGAAGGCTTGTTTGCAGCCAGAGGAGTCGAGGCAAACCGCAATCTTATGGATCACCAGGCTATTCCATATCTATTTTCATTTCAAAGCAGATATCAAGGTGATTTTGACAATGGTAATAGGCAACACGACGTATCATTTAAGCTAAATCTGACACGTTTAATCGCTGAATTCCTTCTCGGTAACTGGCTAATTACTAGCCAGATGTCATAATAGATTCTTTCAATGTTTTGGCAGTCTAACTTATGCACGTAACATGGTAATTACTTTGGTTGAAATAAATTTATGCCGCACGACTCGAAGGGACCACTATAACTCATAAATACCCAGTAGTGGAGTTTCGGCATCGAACTA